AGTTTTCGAATCAGAAAAAGCAAAGGTCATTATTTGGAGCTGCTGGACAACAATTTTTATATTTTATTTTATTGGGCATCAATAATATTATGTTATATCATTTAACCGAAAATATTACCAAGTACAATAACATATTAAGTACCGTTTATATAATGTAATAGGTAGCGCTTATATAATAAAATAAGTTAATTACTGGAAACATTATCAAGCACAATAATATATTAGGTACCGCTTATATAATGTAATAGGTATCACTTATATAATAAAATAGATTAATTACTGGAAACATTATCAAACACAATAACATATTAGGTAACGCTTATATAATGTAATAGGTAGCGCTTATATAATAAAATAGGTAGCGCTTATATAATAAAATAGGTTAATTACTGGAAACATTATTAAGCACAATAACATATTAGGTACCACTTATATAATGTAATAGGTAACACTTATATAATAAAATAGGTTAATTACTGGAAATATTATTAAACACAATAACATATTAGGTAACGCTTATATAACGTAATAGGTAGCGCTTATATAATAAAATAGGTTAATTACTTAATTTGTTATTACAACATATTAGATAAACACTTAAAATGTTATCAATGATAACATAACTGGTTAATTATTATTTTGTTATTTTAAAATAACTTGTATATTTATTATAATTTAATAACATTATTTTGTTATTACTTAACTTGTACGTTATAAAAAAAAGCTACGTTAATTGATTATAATATTTTTTTATATTCATTTATTAACGAAAAAAATAAGAGAAAATAACCTCATTGACCAAAAATGCCTTATAATATACGATTTTAACCAATTTTTTTGGATTTGTCAAAATGACCAACTAAATCGCAATGCGATCGATAATTCGCAACGCGATCTCCGGTATCGCAAATCAGTTTCCAGATTCGATTATCGCAATGCGAACTTGGAACTATCGCAATGCGAATATGTAAATCGCAATGCGATAGTCGAAGTTCGCGTTGCGATTTATTCCAAATTCGCAACGACTGGTGGTATTGCATTTGTTTCTTAAGAATTTTCTTTAAAAAGATAGTATTCGCGCGGACGTGTCGAAGACACGTATTACCACGACCACGACCACGACCACGACCACGACCACGACCACGACCACGACCACGACCACGACACGACACGACACGACCCGAGACGAGACGGGACGGCGGCGGCGGCGCGCGAGAGTCTCCCTTGTTCTCTATCACTCAACAAGGAAGTGAGAAAGCCAAGCCTTAAATACCATTCCCAGTAGTGTTTCCAATACTATGTGGGATTGAGCATTACCAACACTTGTTTCCAATATAATATGATTATTCAGGAAACAATTAACAATCATGCACCTTAAAACAACTAAATCAGCAACCAATTGTATTAGTATTATACGATTAAATATGTCATAATTAAAAGTCAATCTACAATCAATCGCGATTATTGCAATTTTAAGCAAAACATTCAAAAATAATATCACTATTTAAGGCTCAATCCCACATAGTATTGGGAACAAGTGTTGGTAATGTTCAATCCCACATAGTATTGGAAACACTATTGGAAATTGTATTTAAGGCTTGGCTTTCCCACTTCCTTGTTGAGTGATAGAGAACAAGGGGGACTCTCGCGTGCCGCCGCCGCCCTTCGACTATCGCATTGTGATTTACATATTCGCATTGCGATAGTCTAAGTTCGCATTGCGATAGTCGAAGTTCGCGTTGCGAATCTGGAAACTGATTTGCGATACCGGAGATCGCGTTGCGAATTATCGATCGCATTGCGATTTAGTTGGTCATTTTGGCAAATCCAAAAAAAGTTGGTTAAAATCGTATATTATAAGGCATTTTTGATCAATGAGGTTATTTTCTCAAAAAATAATTGCATCTTATAATTAAGTTTACAATGTAATATAATAAAAATATTATTTAAAAATAAATTATTTGTGAATTATAAAAAAATATTTATTATCTAATTATTACATACATATTAACGTAATTTGTAAAGGACTTGCAAAGATTATTTATTTATTATAAGGATTCTTTTGTTTTTAATGACGTAAAAACTCATTAATATTTTTTATAACGTACAAGTTAAGTAATAATCGCTTATATGACATTATTTTGTTAATTACTTAATTTATTATTATAATATATTAGGTAAACGCTTAAAATGTTACCAAGAATAATAATAAAATAATATTATTTATTAACAAAATAATAATATTATTTTTAAAATAAACATTACAAATTTATCTATTACATTATAATTATCGGTTTCGATATTTTTGGGATCTATAAAATTTTAAATGTATCAACACTTTATGCGTGCACCTCGTTGGGCATTTATTATGGAAAAAAAGTATCGACACAAACTTAAAATGTATCGATACATTATGTAGACCTATTTTCTCATAAAACCGGTATATTTATACCTAGTATATTGTAAATTTACGTATTACATTGTAATTATCGGTTTCGATGTTTTTGGGATCGATACTTTTAATAAATGTATCGACACTTTATGTGTGCACCTCGTTTGACATTCATTCTGGACAAAATGTATCGACATTTTTTAAATTTGTGTTGATACATTATGTTAACCTATTCTTTCATAAAATCAGTATATTTATACCGGTTATATTAAAAAGTTATCTATTACATTATAATTATCGATTTCGATGTAACATATGTGTATATACTTTTTGAAAATGTATCGACACATATGTTTCAATATTCTCTCATTATAATATAATTAATGATATATTATTCTTATTATAATAAATAATAAATATAATTTATAATAATTTTATTTTAATAAAATATAATAATCATAATTTTTTATTTATAAAATTATAGATATAATATTTTAATAGTAATATTGAAATAAATAATATTAAATAAATTATTCTAATATTTTAAAAAATAATATTATTATTTTGTTAATAAATAATATTATTTTATTATATTTGATTTTTATAATAAAGAATTTTTTTTAAAATTGTATAATTTGTGTTTACTAATTTTATCATTAAAAAAATTTATTTTTACCGGTTTTGTTATTGTTGGTTAATAAAACCGGTAAAAATTACCTAAAACATTATTATTTCTACCTAAAACATCAATGTTTTTTAACATTTTCGGTAAAATGCCCAACAATAACAAAACCGGTAAAAAAATAATAAAACCAATAGCGCTTTACCTGTTTTGTTAAAATAATGATATTTTCGGTAATTTTTACCGATTTTGTTATGCACAACAATAACAAAACCGACATATTTTTCCCGGTAAAATATCAAATAATAACAAAACCGGTAGAAATAATGATATTTTTTTATATTTTTTACCGATTTTATTATGCACAATAATAATAAAATCAATACCGCCTTTTTTTAACTTATAACAAAATCGATACTACTTTTTTTAACAATATATTAAGTGTCTCACGTGAGCATTCCCCGTTTACGACGTGTGAACAACAATAGTACCCCATCTGTCAAAGCGCACATCCCAATTCATTTGTGAAGGAAACCAATCAAATCAGAACAAACAAAAAGGTGTCCGTCGATATGGTTTTTGTTCTTTAATGTGAACCTCAGTGGAGTAATGTGCACCCACCAAACCTGCTTGTCGTGATGGAAAATTGTGCAAACAAGGAATCTTGAAATGGGCCAGCGAGCATGTCATGCATAATATATTCCTACCTCACCATGTTGACTTGGATGGGGGTGATTTTACACCAACGATGGAAAAAATAACCTATTTCACAATCGATACACTATGCATAATTATCAACAAGTGTAAATCTTGAGACATGTTATCTTCAGTGGTTATCATATGCCATCAATCGACGTTTGGAGAAAAGTTTGACGTGTACTTATCAATTACTAATAATTGAGTTGGAGACATTGTAACTGAACGCCATCCCAATTCAATGCTCTCAATTCCAGCAACAACAGTCCAGAAAATTTTCCGTCTAGGAGCCCAACAAAATGGAGTGCTCCAGCACTGGCCCTAGCTCAAAATAATACCTTTCAACTCTCCTCTTTATTACTCCGTAAGCCAATCTTTTACTCTACCACCAGCTCAGGTGAAGGCAGAGATGGATCAAGAGAACGGATAAATACAACCGTCCCCTACACATTTAAAATTATTATATATTTTAAATTTTTTCTGTATTTTACGTTGAAAATATGTTTTCATCTCTTCCTAATTCCTAAAATTTTAATAGTTTCTCTCTCAAAATAAAATTATGCATCCATCGTCCCTAAGTGAATGTCCAGCCATAAGTGGCCCCTGAATTTTATATAATTCCTCTCTCTTACCCTCGAGTTCTTCCTGAGATATCACATAAACAGCTTTTATTAAGTCCTCCCGGTAGAGCACGTATTGGATGCAAAACTTTAATCGAAGACGAGTGGTTTTATTTTCTTATTGCCATTCTTTACAACTTCATTTTAGGGTGTGAGGTTTTAATGTTCTCGTATTTGGATCCTTCATAATTGTGGCAAACAATTTTGATCATACGACAAACATTCGATGTTCTTTCTCCCCTTCTCTTGGCTCCTCCATTTGTTGATGGTGTAAGAAAAGAAAATGTAAAAATTGGTTTCTCCTTGTACTAAGCTTGCCTATGATTTCTCTAATGCCAATTTAGTTACAAACCACAAACTGCAGGACGCAATGAATCATGCAATCTGAACCACTCTACATGCTAAGCAGTTGAAAATAAAGCCTAACCGCAAAAAACAGGATTCACTTTACATTGCTCTCTTACATTTATTTACTCTAAATTTGGTTGAAAAGCCGATATGATGCAATCTGAACCACCCTATATGTAAAACCTAAATACATGGGCGGCTAGCTAAAAGCTCCCCTTGCATCCTTATTTACACTTTGAAGTCTACCAAGCACTCTCAATGACCGAACACATACAATACACAATACACGTCTTAAATTAGTTTATTTTTTCTACGCACATGGTTCACCTGAGAGATTGTTCTTTATCTTACATTTTGAAAGACCCTGTTGTTCAGAGAATAACATCCTATAGGTTTAGTTCATCTTTCCCATAAATGCGCTGAAGCTCACGAGTTGCTGCTTGAAATGATTCTGGGAAGACGGGAAGTTATAAAGAGAATTAGTTAGACCACTGGTTCTATATGTAAAACCTAAATACATGGGCGGCTAGATAAAAGCTCCCCTTGCATCCTTATTTACACTTTGAAGTCTACCAAGCACTCTCAATGACCGAACACATACAATACACGTCTTAAATTAGTTTATTTTTTCTACGCACATGGTTCACCTGAGAGATTGTGCTTTATCTTACATTTTGAAAGACCCTGTTGTTCAGAGAATAACATCCTATAGGTTTAGTACATCTTTCCCATAAATGCGCTGAAGCTCACGAGTTGCTGCTTGAAATGATTCTGGGAAGACGGGAAGTTATAAAGAGAATTAGTTAGACCACTGGTTCTATGGCAGCAATAATACAGGGTCTTTCATGCTCCTACGAGCATAATCTGAAGAAGTAGAAAGCAACGAGGCAGCTTTGCGGCTAAACCAAATTTAATTTACCTTTCCAAATGCGAAAAGACTTCTGATTAATTGGTGCACCAAACACGGTTTGAATTGTATCGAACAGCAAGCTCTCGGGCGTGCTCTTCAATTCTTGTACTATCTGATAGATAGTCTTTCCATTCTCAAAGTAAATGTGATTGTTCGGATGCTTTGTTTTGCAACCAGCATGGTGCTCAAACTTATACGCATTTAGCACCTAACACACAATCATATAGAACTCAGTGATGCACAATCAAAAAAGCTTCGCGGGCAAATTTTGATGCTACTGCATGGCGTACCTTAGAGAAGTTACATGATTGACACCCACAGAGATATCCAGAACCTTTTACAACTCCAGGAAGCTCCTTATTACAGACGGTCATACAGGGATAAAACCATTAGGTAGAAAGTAAATACAAAGAAAAAGAGGCCAAGAAAAGAACTATTCCGTTACCTCCCGCGACAAGGAAATGTACTTCACATGTACACCATCAAGCATACCAGTCGATATCAAGCTTCTAACATTTGAAGGGAAGCTGTTCGGAGCTTCTTTCTTTGATGATTTGAACTCTGGTTTAGTCCTTGAAGTAGAATTAGGTCTTAATTTAGCAGTCGGAGTTGCAGTTGCAACTGAACCAGTAATAGGCATGTCCAAATGTTTTCCGGAAGCATCTTCCAATGTTGGATTGGAAGATTGACAGTATGATGGATCAAAGCTATCAAGAGGCCTGCCCACTGGGATAATTTCATGCTCTTCATGAAAGCCACCGAAAGAAAGAATATCAGCATCTTCTTTAACATAAGTGTTGGCCATCGATATTGGAATTTCATTATCCTTATTGTAGGCAGGGGTAGCTGTTGCGTTATGCAAATCATCCCTGTTATAGGTATGACTCATTGCTGCAACATTATCACACTGCTTATCATAGTCATGCCCCATTGAAATGAAACTACTTATATTTTCCCTGTTATACAACTCAATTGTAGGCATGTCACTGTTATTTCCCCTACTAAAACTATGTTTTGGATCATGCATACCATTATCAAAATCCTTAACTTGATTGACCTTAACTTTTCTAATTCCACCATAATTAAAGCATGATTCAGAATCTTCAATGGAGGGTGATATCGACAAACCAACAGATACATCTTCACTGAAATGATCTTCAATGCCTTTTCTTCTAATGTCATCTGCTGCTTCTATGGGAGATATGTTCCTGTCACTGAAATTGACAGACCTTTCAGATTCGGAACCAAACAACCGGTCAATAAATTGACTAGGAACGGACTGAAAAGTGGAAACATCTTCCCAAGGGGGAACATTTGAACTAGAAAATTCAGAACTTGATTTGTTGTTTGCAGCTTGTATAGCTTGCTTCTTGTTGGGGAACAGCTGTGACTCAGCATCAACAAACCAATTATGCGGCCGCTTGGGTTCGATCCTAGATGTATTATCAAATGCTGCATCTCCATCAGACACATGCGCAGGACCCTTCGCCATCCAAAAACCTTTATTCTGAAAACCCTGCGAAAAACAATCACTCAGAAGCTGCTTGTTTGTAATACTTCAGTGTTAGATGATCCAAAAGACAACACTATATTTTTCGCGGTAACAAAAAAGTTGCATCTCGCTCAGTCTAATACAAAAGCAAGCCTTTTTTTTCATATACAAATCCAGTGTTCACCCTCAAAGTATGGTTTTTTTTAAAAGAAAGCTTATTTATATATCTTTACAGATAATTAGAAAAGAAACAGTTCCCTAAAAATGCATATTTCATCAAGTAAATAAACAAAATCAAATGATTAAGAAACTTAACCAATAATAAATAACTACCAGCCATTTTATTGTCCTAAAAGAAGTACCATTTCTTTCCAGTTTCCCACTTCTTCGATGCTTCAACCGAAGATGACACACTTCCCTCTTTCTTCTTCTTCTTCTTCTCTAATTACCGATCGAAGCATATAACCTCTTCTTACATCACCCAAATTCAAAGCTTACCCTGTAAATTTTCGTTGAAAAATTATCGTTCATAAAATTTACCTGAAAACCCCGATAATGGAATGGATAAATAGAAAAACCCTAAAAACAATTTCAAAGAGAGTTTTTAATTTCCTTCAATTTTTGAAGATACTTACCATGCTTTACCACCAGAAAATCCGAGGAGCCGTTCGATCGTCCCTTAGTTCATGATGAATTTGCCGGCGAACAGATCGAGAGAGAGTTAATTTTGATTTTATGAGTGAGGAGCACCGGATCTTTCCTCGTGAAAACAAGAATTGTTAGGCTACAACTGCTTTATCACACATCTCATCTGTAAATTTCAAGTCCGCTGCATGTGATGGATCTTGCCCGTCAATTATTTTGTATAACTTCATCTGATGGTGGATGTCGTTCAAGGAAAGAGAGTCTTGGGATTATAAAATAGTTTACACGTGTCAGTTACATAATGGTATAAATAGAGAAAATCGCCTCAGTGACCAAAAAAAGTTATAATATACGATTTTAACCAATTTTTTTTGGATTTGCCAAAATGACCAACAAAATCGCAACGCGAAATAAAAATCGCAACGCGATCCCCAGAATCGCAAATCAGTTTCCAAAATCGCAACGCGATTCTTGAAAATCGCAATGCGATAGTACAAATTCGCATTGCGATTTTCCAAAATCGCAACGCGAATATGAAAATCGCAACGCGAACACATAAATCGCAACGCGTATCCGTAAATCGCAACGTGTATCCGTAAATCGCAACGCGTATGGGTAAATCGCAATGCGTATCCGTATATCGCAACGCGTATCCGTAAATCGCAACGATAATCCGTAAATCGCAACGAGAATCTGTAAATCGCAACGATAATCCGTAAATCGCAACGAGAATCTGTAAATCACAACACTGAAATTTTGGGTATATAACACTGAAATCATAAACTAAATCCCTAAATCGCAACTCATTCCATCTCCATCTATCACTCTCTCCGGCGACATCCGTTCCTATATCCAACGACATCCTTCCCAATCCGGCAACAGGTTTTAGTTTCGCAGCTCGTCTGTTTAGTAAATTAATTTACAACCATGAAATCATCTAATGTTGATCATGTTTGGATAGATTTGTGTTTTGGAGGGTCATGGGATAATGTTCATGGTGTTTTACAATATATGCCTTTACCCATGAATCTTCAACTAAAATTGTCTTTACAAAAGTTAACTTATGAAACTCTAATGCTACGTGTTTCAAATAAATTGAATTTAGAGCCCCTAAGTGGATTTAGGCTATCTTATCAGAGAAATGGTAAAGTTTATTTGTTAACCGACAATGAAGATGTTGAACGATTCATTGCTTACATTAGTGTTTCACAAGATGATGTTACATTGTATGTTGTTGAACCTAGAAGTAGTATTGTTGGGTCAGTAGCGGGTAGTAATCAACTAAGTTTTTCTCAAAACCCACAACCTTTCTCTAATCCAAATCCCAATCAATTTTCAGCACCAAATTCCGGTTTTCGTATTGACCAGTTAGACGATGATGAGCCAACAGAAAAAATTGTGAGTACTAGTCAGTATTCGAAATTTGGTCTTGGTCAATATCCGGACTTTGATATTGGTCAATACACGGATTTTGATGATGTTTCAGAAGAAGAAACAGACCCTGCGTGTAATGATTTTGATATTGGTCAATACCCGAATTTTGATGATGAAACAGCCGTTGCCGAAGAATGTATTGTTGATGATAATGAGGAGGAAGTTACGACTGTGAATGAACATGTTGAACATCCATTCTGTAATTCATATAATCCTGAAGATGAAAAAGAAGAAGAAAAAGTCCCCGAAGAAAAGAAAATGCCACGGGCGTATAACTGGAATATGCCAGAATTACTTCAAATACCGGAAGAAGAGTTGGTAAAGAAAGCAGTTGATTGTTACACAAAAGTTATTCGTATCAAGAAAGATGATTGTTTTGATACAAAGGAAGACTTGAAGATAGCTTTGTATACGAAATGTGTGGAAGATGGCTATCAACTAAAAGTTAACAAATCAAGCAAAGATCGTTTCGAAACAAGGTGTATGATTGACAAAAACTGTACGTGGCGTATGATTGCAAAGAGAATAAAAGATTGCGAAATGTTTCAAGTTAGGACTTTTATTGATAAACATACATGTTCAAGAACCCAAGTTTTTCCTCACCATAGACAGGCAAACAAAAAGGTGTTGGGTGGTTTTTTGGCTGAGTTAATGTTTTTGAATGGCAGGGTATATCGGGGACATGAAATTATGACTGACATGAATGCTCGGTTCAAGATTAGTATATCATATTCTCAAGCTTGGAGAGCCAAATGTTATGCCTTGGAATTGTTGAGGGGGTCGCCAGAAGCATCGTTTGCCCAACTGCCGGCTTATTGTCACAATTTAAAGCTGAAAAATCCTGGGTCGGTAACTCATATCAAAACAGATAGAGATGGACGCTTTGAGTTGCTGTTTATCGCCATTGGTGCTACGGTTAGTAAATCAATATAATTTTGTTGACTCATTTTTGTTAGTTACATGCATTTCACATTTAAATGATTATATTTCTTGTGTATATTATTTTGTAGATTCGTTCGTTTATTACTTGCATGCGCCAGTTATTATAGTTGACGGAGCACATTTGAAAGGTCGATACCTTGGAGTAAACTTATTAGCAGTAGCCATGGATGCTAACAATGAGATATTGCCAATAACTTACGGGGTTGGCAAATCTGAAACCTCTGATTCATGGACATGGTTTATGGGGCATCTTAGGGATTGCATAGGTCCTATTAGCAATCTGACAATCATATCCGATAGGGCAAACTCAATTGACAACGCTGTTAGAAGGTGTTTCCCAGATGCTTTTCATGGACTTTGTGGTGTTCATTTGTATAGAAATCTAAAATCAAGGTCTGCTGGTATAAAAAAGCACAAATGGACATACTGGAAGGCTGTAAAAGCTTATCGGGAAGTGGATTTCAATAAGCATATAAATTGTTTAAGACGTGTTTTGCCTCAGTGTGCTCAAACACTAGAAGATGTCGGGTTTGAAAGATGGTCAAGAGTACATCAACTTGGAGCAAGATATGGTTTCATGACGTCTAATAGTGCAGAATCAATCAACGCTCTAAGTCGTCATTCCCGGAAATTACCCATTACTATGTTAATGGAGTTTTTTCGAGCCTCTATTCAACAGTGGTACTACAAGAAAAGAAACCATGCAGGTATTATTTCTTTGAATTCGTAACTTATCATATTTATATATTTTACTAAGTATTGTTTATTTAAATTTACAGGAACATTGGAACATCGTGTTACACCATGGACTGAAAAAAAGATAACGAAACGTGTTGTGAAGTCAACGTCATGGAGAGTTGAACCATGTTCAAACACTTTGTTTCAAGTACTGGATAATAACTTAAATGGGCTAGTCGATCTAAATGCAAAGACGTGTAGTTGTATGAAATGGCAAACATCTGGTTATCCGTGTGGCCATGTTATAAAAGTTGCTCTTCATTTAAACCAAGATGATTCAAGCGCATACGCTATGGATTGCTACACTACAGAAGTTTATCGACAGACTTATGCCGAGATTGTCTACCCTATTCCACATTCTTCTGAGTGGGACATACCAGATGACTTACAAACAGTTTTGCCACCAGCCATGGACAGAAGGCTACCTGGCCGACCAAAAAGTCACGATCGTATACCGTCTAAGGGTGAAGAGAAGAAGAGATCGACATGTAGTCGGTGCAAGGAAAGTGGTCATACAAGGTTGACATGTGGATCACCAGTGCCATCAAAATCATCTTTTCCTCTACCAAAATATGGATCCTCATCAAAATCCAAAGCTCATATGGTGTCAAGCAAAAGGCAATCATCTTTAAAATCCCAATCACAATTGGCTTCACCTTTTGGGACTGTTAACTTAGGTGATTTTTAAATGCAAACGTTGTATTATGTGGATTTTATGTGTGAACTTTTAACATTTTCAGTTGAATTAATGACTCAGGCCAACCATTTTGACTTAACCAACTATTGTTATTCAGTTGTTATCACTATTAGGCATGCATTTGACTATCGCAACACGGAAATTAAAATCGCAACGAGAGAATCGCAATGCGAAATGAAAATCCCAACATGAAAATCGCAATGCGGAAATGAAAATCGCAACGAGAGAATCGCAATGCGAAATGAAAATCGCAATGCGAAATGAAAATCGCAACGATAGAATCGCAATGCGAAATGAAAATCGCAATGCGAAATGAAAATCGCAACGAGAGAATCGCAATGCGAAATGAAAATCGCAATGCGAAATGAAAATCGCAACGAGAGAATCGCAATGCGAAATTATAAACGCATTGCGATTCTCTCGTTGCGATTTTCATTTCCGCATTGCGATTTTCATTTCGCATTGCGATTCTCTCGTTGCGATTTTCATTTCGCATTGCGATTTTCATTTCGCATTGCGATAGTCATTTTTGCCTTCAACATAATGCAGATTGAAATCAACAAAATCAACCATTACATTTCAATCAATTAAACAAGCACAAATAAGAATTATGTTCGCATCAATTACACAAATCAACTTTTACAAATCATCTTTTACAAATCAATTAAACAATCAAAAAATAAGCAATAATTCTTATTTACGATCATCTACTATTGAATCAACTTTTACAAATCAATTAAACAATCAAAAACAATCAATTAAACTATTGAATCAACTTTTGCAGCCATACATCATTTTCACGCAGTTCACTTCTGAGATTAACCTGCAGAAACCAAACATTTGCTCAAACAACACTTTCTACACATCTAAAACCTACAAACAGCAAATTATTGAATTCTAGGTACTTAACCAAACATTTTCAAACCAAAAGTATATAAACTTACCAATTGTTTATGGACATTTTTATAACGCGGATGCAGGTAGGCAGCGTCTCGTATATATCGATTTAGCCATATAATGCCGAAACCACAAGCCTACTGCAGCTCTATCTCTATCGGTGGGAGGTAGATACTTGATGCTTCCGTCGTCAAACGCTCCAACGCCAAGCATACGAGAGGACCACAATCTCCTCTGGCTCCGCTCGTTTGTTGTGGCGCGGTCTCATCTTTAATAACTGTAATATTGAGCTTCTTTGGCTTCTTGTTTCCAGAACGAGTCCAATAATTGATCGCATCCAAGAATTTAGCCAAATGAGAGCTCCATCCCTTAATAACATCTCTTAAATCAGCCAATGATATGTAATTTATCATGCTGTCATACACTAT